TTAACATGCAGATCCCACAACTTGCAAACACCCTCCAATCACACAGCAGAACCTAATTAAAAAGAACAATATTTGCTACCTCAAGCAATTTACTGATAGGTTCTTTCCTTCCGTGTAGAAGTGCTACTCTTCCCTTTTAAAGGCTCCAAAGCAGTACAATTGAGACTCTTCTCCTGCCTTTAATGGGGGCAATTTCTAACCAAGCTTGCCAGGAAGAAAAGGGAAACACGTTCATCCTTCCCCTCAACAACTACCCCACCAGCTATAAGCAGATCTCACTGTGGGTGCAAGGACCAGAGCACCTCCAAGCTGGGCAGAAAGGAGGGGATGGAGCCTCTTTCCCCTCTTTCCCCGCATCTACTGCCTGGAGAGTTTTGCTGGTTTTTTGTACTCTTTACCCTCAAGAACTCAGAAAGCTGAGAGAGATGCTGGCCAACTGCTGGGACTGACACCACCACACTGAACTGCTCCTGATGCTCAAAATGGCAAGTTTTATTTCTCATCTAAAAATAAATTTAAACAAAGAAAATCACTGTTATGCCAACAGTGATGTCAAATTAGCTTTAATCCAAGACCTTTGAATATTCCTAACTGCCTGCTGTCACATGAATGCTTAAGATTATTCTCCAAGTAAATTTTTAATTTTTCCCCCCTGTAGTTCAAAACACCTAGGCCTTTCTTTTTTTCAGTTGGAATGTAGTTTCCATGTTCTCATTCACCAGAAAAATGACACCTGTCCTTTTCTATCCTAGGGCAACAGAGGTGGGGTCATGCACAGCACCATTGGGAAGGCCCATTTGTGTAGTGCTTTGGCATCCTTGCTTTCCAGCCCTGCCACACAAGTGCAGCCCTAACTTATCTACTGGCTCAGGGACAAGTGGGCAATTCCCAGCCCCTCTGCACAGTCAAAATCCCTGCTCTGCATCCCCAGAGGAGAAGCAGCTGCAGGATGTACTTTTAGTGAGTTTTGCTGTATTTTTGCTCAGTGCTTGAGCCAAGGTCACTACTTTTGAAAGCCASCRTATTCAGTGACAGAAATGCCTACACCACCCAGCATCACTCCTGCTTCAATGTACAGCCCAGGCCTTGACAAGGGATCCAGTTTGTCCAGGACAGACAGTTAACACCAAAACCAGAGCAGAAGAATTCTAAAGTGAGATGAATCAGGAGCATTTGGAAAGCT